ATTTTCATGTAAATAAAATCTCATTTTTCACGAGGTGATTTTGTTTGTTTTTGGTTAAGATGAAGAGATAGAACTCTATTTCTCAGCCCATATCCCAATATTGTCTTGAAATCTGTGTGTGAACAAATAAATCAATTGTATTCAGTAGTCTTTTTACGCCCAGTTTTTTTTAACAATATGATGATCTGGTGTCAGATGAAAACTCAGAATACATTCAGAAGGCTTGACTGAATCTTCCCAACTTGTGCTGTAAGGGATATATAAGTCTGCCGACCAAAGAACGAGCTTACTGTGCAGCACTTCGCTCCGTTCTACTTTATGCGTGTGAAACATAGCCATTAGAAGTAGATCATGTTCGTGGGTTACTGGCATTCGATCATAGATGTCTTCAAAGCATTACTCGTGTATTTTAGGACCACTGAGTAAGTAATGTTTGGGTTAGGGATAGGAGTAGGGTACTAGGTAATGATGGGCAAATCGATTGAAGAGGTGATAAATCTTCATCAAATGAAGTTGTTCAGGCAGGCGTCACATATGCCCAACCACCGTTTACCTCGACAGGCGACGTTTTCTGGTATAGGAGTGGGCTAGAAGAAAGCTAGGGGCGATCAAACCGAAGCTTGAGATCAGTTTATGAAGTCGTTGACAACTAGATTGAGCCATGTTAATAATTGTGTATTACGTGGTTGAGGTCCGCGTGATGACTATCGTAACCAGTGGTTAGAGACTGAATGACACAGCTCAAAATTGTTTGCAATGGCTCAGGTGCATCTATTCTTTGTCTTCCCTTAGATTTCAAGCTTCTAAATCCCTCATAATTTTTTTACTTCACCAATTTATATGTTCTTGAATCGTACGTTCGATGCCTAGTCTTTTCTATTAGCATTAAAGCTGTTACTACCTTTAGTACTCTTGGATTCGCCCTGACAATATCATATCTCAGTGTTAATGGGTTTTAGGGAATTGAACCGATGTACATACGTACGAGGTTCTATGTTATGACGGATATATCCTTAGCGTCAAATTAATAATACTCATATGAAACTAATTCATTCACTGGAAACAGTTAGCAATAATAATCCTAATGTGTGTGTCACTGAATATATCTTTTTGGGAATTTAGTCCCTTGTTATGTGATCCTTGTACACCTGTTAGTTTCTCCTAATATATTTCCACATATGATCTTACCAAAAGTTTTTATTATAGTTATTAATAATTAAGAATGTCCCTTGTCTCCTTAACCTATTTTTATTTATTACTTTAATGTTCTTAAAGTTTAACAATGAAATAAGTTCATGTAATTAATTACTGATTTTCTTCTGCAAAATCGACATTTTTAAAAATGTGAATTCATATCTGATACGTGTTTGCATGTACACGTAACCATAATTTCTTAATATTATCTTCTTATCTTAGTTATTCTGATCTATCTTCTTAGAACTGATAATTTCCTTCAGTTAATTGATTTCATTATCGTTATTTAACATTACCGTTTTTATTTTATGGAGATTTTTTCTTTTCTAAAAGTTAATAGCATATTTATTGAAACATCATTAAAAATTATGAAATACTAAACTAGTGTATTGGAACTATGAAACCATCTAATTTACATCATCATTGAAAATTCGGAAGCACTAAACGGCTATTTCATTGTAGCATGGGACTCTTCGACAGTGCTCATCCACGTGTTTGCAAACAGGAGTCGAACCGAGGACTTTCGGTCTTGCGTGCTAACGCCTAACCTCTAGACCACTGGCTCAGCATCCAATGGTATTAGTGCTGAACATCGATCAACCTTGAGGTTATGCGTTCGCATTTGACAAACCATGTTCTGATTTCTGCGTGCGGGTTCGTAGTTGCGCATTCCTTAGGAGTTCTATACTAGGCCAAAACGGCCATCCAGTGCTTCCAGTTCTACAATGATCGTCTAACTTGAATCGGTCCATGATTTCAATGAAATTCAACAGTTTCCAAAATACTATACTGACTCAACTGTTGTTTAGTTTTCCATAACCAATACTTGGATACGAACATCTATGTACGATAACGACAGAAACCACTAAATAATCACATTCGGTTATAACTAAGATTTTTCAGTATTAACTAGTTTCTTATGAACTGTTGTTATAAAGTAAGTCTTTGCAAATATAATTCAGTTGTTTTGTACACCACTTTATTATTCAAACAATCCATTAATTTTGAACCACTTTTGAAGAATTCCCAGTTAAGTAGGACAACAAGCAAGTTTAATATATTTTTTTGGTCTTTATCTTTAACGATCCTTCAATTATTACCACTTTGAGATGATAAAAATTAATAACGATAATCTTAAAACAGTTATCCAAAATTCATAATGATGATTTCTACAAATCCTAACGTGTTAGCTTATACCTATCTGAATTTTATTCATCAATTTCGTTTCAGATATCAAATGCTTTAAATTCAGCTGTATCGGTGGTTACCTCAAATTTCGTCACACCATTATTATCATCCTCGTCGTTGTCAGTGCCATCATCACCAGTATCATCTTCAGACTCAATCAGAACAGTAAATGAAAGTAACGAAGATCCTCCTAGTACCACATGAATCATTATTCTTTCTTTGTTCGATTTTTCCTTTGCAACATCTTTTTTTATTTATTTTGTTGTTGTTTTATTTTTCTTTATGATCAATATGTCGTAGTAGAATTAACAATACAATAAATTTAATGAGCAAAAAATGTTCGTTTATCTTTTTAACTTCTTCGAGATCATCAAATAAGTAACTCTATCAAATATATACATTTAAATTGTAATATTTATATATTATAACATTGCTATTATGAATTGTCTTCTTTGTGTGTATCCTTCACCTTCAAACAGTAATGATGATAATTGTTTGATCGACTAATTTAGTTAATTCATTCCATTCAGTTTTTTTAATGAAGATTCCTACCATTACCTACATATAGATAATTGTTTTCTATTGAATTAAAAATATATTTTAGATCAGTACATAGAATACAATTTTCTTATTGTCAGTATTCTAGATCGTGAATTTATCTGATTTTTCTTTTTCTCAACTTTCACACCGTTGTTGTTGATGATGGTGGTGTTGCTGTTATTTTATTCAGAAATCGGTTATACTATTTGTCAAATTGTAGTAAACTTGGGTGATACCGTAGATCAATATTCCATTGTATAGTTCCTCATTGTTTTTTATCTTTCTGACATTTTATGGTGGTAGATATTTTGAAATCCGGTCAAAGTAATACTCGTAGTAAACCCCTACTGAAGATGATATCTAAAGTGTTGTTGAAACCTCTCTTAATGATGAGTCAGTTTTCAAAACCAGTTGAACGAAAAACAGTAAGGATGGATAGGTCTGTTACAACAAGGAATAAGCTGTATTACATATACCAGATTGTGTTATCAAAATAACAAACTAAATTACCATTATCAAAATATCAGCTGAAATAATATGATTTCCACTATATTTCTCTTTGTTTTCATGTACCCACTGAAAAGTTTGTCATAATACCACTTGATGGGTTTCGAGAACTGTGAAGAAACGGAATTTTTATTTATTGGTACTATGTCATCTGTACACTTCATATAGAAAATAATGTCAATAAAAAATCAATGTCAAAAAATAAGACAATTTGAATGATCATCTGAGTAGTTAGTGATATGGAATATAAAAACATGTTCATAGTACTCAATGTCTGAACTAAAATGCTTTTAGAAATTAAATTAATTAAATAGTCCAAGATTACTGAGTTCAGGTTTTTCTTACGTTTTTATTTGATTGATTCAATAATATTACACATATGTGTAAAATGTCTTTTAAATAGATAAACTCAATTTGTATTTATCAGGTGACTTTATATGTCTAAAATTAGTTAAGTCATCTATAAGTAGATTTGCTTTGTTTAAAACTGAATTTGAAAGTTATTCTTTGCTCATCCCAGTTGCTTGTAAACAATGTATACTTATATGGGGGGAGCACGAACTAGGCCTATGAATTAGATCTTAGTTGACCGGAGAATGAGTGACGTACAAACTAATTTCCTCTGATCACCCATAACATTCTTATTTGTATTTTCGTCTTTGATTCCTAATCATTTGGGAGCTTGCGTCAACAAGACGGTCTAGTGCACACTCTTCACATGGCCACACGTGTAATTGCACATCATCGATGAATCAGTATTATACTCATTGATTATGACAGTCAGAAATTCATTCTTACAATTGTGATCCATAAAAAGCACAAATGTGGACCGGCCCATAGTGATACAACAATGACCATCAAACCAATAAGCTCAAGACACGAAATCAAATCCAGTGAGGTTAAAATGATCATACTGGTAGTAATGTTAAACTAAAATCAAGGAGTATGGTTCATGAAGAACAGATGAGACTGGGGATGAGAAGCACTTAATCACATTAAACTCAAGTTCAGTTACGCACATCCACCACAATTCAGCTGATTTTAAATCATTTCATTTACTTCCAATCATGCAGTATGATTATCTTGATGACTGCGACCAAAACGTTTGGGTATCACTACACGGCTTAGATCAAGAAACAATGGCTTCATGAATTGTCGCTACGTCATATCTCACTTTGGATATCTCTGGCCTATTAGTCGACAGACGCTCTAAACTACATCAACCGACTAAGTGATCTACAACCTAACCAAAACTATTCACTCACCCATCCCACTTTATTTGAACAATGTTTCGAAGGCAGTATATATAAATTCCTAAGAAGTTATTTTTTTAAAATCATAATTGCATTAGAAATGAAGTACACCAATTTTAAATTCGCTGTCAAAAGTTTACTTACTATATTAACTGAACAACAGCATCGACTTCTGCAACATACTACGACTTCCTTGTACATAATATTTCTACTCAGTAACAAACAACATTAAGCACATGTAGACTACATTATCATCAATCCACAAATATCTAAGCTACCTTCCCATTATTTTTTAGAACAGAACTAATAAGCATTCATTTAAAGGTCAGCAAAAATTTCTATTAAATGCATAAAATTGATATAGCTGAAAAAAAGTAACAAATAACTTGATCTGTGAAATTGATCAAATTTACTAAATCCCCATGAAAAAACCCAGAGTAAAGGACTTTTAATTGTACAGGGTAATTTCAATTAAGGTAAATGCAACTCAATGTGGATAAAAGTGGTTAATAAAATAAAGTATAAAACATGGTACAAATAAATGATTTTCTGAAATGTCTATCATAATAAAAGGACTGTAAATATTAGAGCAAAAAAATACTCGAAGTTAAGCGCCAAATTTTGGGCGAATTTTATCAAAATTAATTTTTTCTTTATACAATGCAGAAAATTTTGAAAGTGGTTGGTGTGAAAACTGTCCTTGGAGAGCACTGAGTATTGTATGAAATTCTGTACGAACAAAGTTGTAAAACTCTTGTTCAGCTTGCCAAATCGGATTGTCTTGATATATTTTAGTTGTTGCTTTACTAATTGGCAATTTATAATTTGTGCGTCTCAGATGCCATTTATCCTTTGAACGAGATATTAGATTATGAGCACCGGTAAAGAATGATGGTAAAAGTATTTCTAGCAAGTCGACAAATTTATCAAATTCTTCTGTCAGGCCAACAATAAGATAATCTTCAATCACACGACGTTTAGCAGTTTCTACAGCAACTGGATTACCAGGGATTCTGCAATACGCTGCTTGTCCGCAGAAAAACGGTACCTTAAAAATTTATAAATACAGTGAATCGATAGAAAGTTAAAATTTTAGATAATATACGTTTGTCTACTAGTCACTTCATTTAAGCATGTGTTTAATAAAGTTAAGACTAAATATAACTGAATATGTCACATTATCTACATTTTTGACGCATAGTGCTAGTTTTTATCCTATTCTGAATATTTTTTTTATTAACAGATTCAGAATCAACTAAACTGATGAATTGTGAGCTACTTAACATAAATTATAGTCATGCTACAGAATAGCAAACATTCTGGTGGAAGATATATATTATTCGTTCAACTTTTAGTGCAGCACAAGATTAATTGAAGTATACACACAAAACAATGCTCCATGATGACTTACTAAAAGATATGCTTTGAAGCAAATTCTTGTTAATTTAGATAGCTTATAAATAAGCTTCCTGTTAATATATTTTATTATATTTAACCCGGATTCACTTTAGCAATGCACATTTATAAATTGAACGGTCTGAGATTCTACTGTAAATCAGTCACAATAAATGGTATTTTGTAGAGAGTAGGTTTTACACTTAATACAAAGGACTAGACAAAAATGACATTCATTATTATTCAGTGATCAATCAACTGCGCACTGAAGTGTCAAATGAGGAGAACAATGTAGAGGTGATTTATATTAAAACCGACTAACCAGTGAAACTTATGGTATATCAGTACTATCCAGCCATGGATTTGGATACAATAGTTTTAACCATTATATAATGAATCAATGGAAATCAAAATAGTAGATATCAGCATTCTATAAAATGCCAATATTCGATCTTTAAATTAACTCACTACTGTTAATAGTTTATCAGCTCTACATGTAACCTTTCACGGTTACTCTCAGTTCCCGGCAAAGGAGAAATGGTGACTACAGGTTTACCAACACCATCTTGCAAAAAAACGCCAAACAGAAAAAATCATCTAAACACTGCCTTGTTCGAAATGTATTGCGCTAATATATCACATATTTTTGATCATCTTCGTCTTCTTATTATACTATCGAAATATGTGAAACTCAAAAGAACTGTCAAACAAGGGCAGAGTCAGTATTGTCAATACTAATGTAAAAACAGTCCTACTGTATGGAGCTGAAAAGCGGAGGACAACCACAACCAGCACCAAAAATCTACTGGTACTTGTGAACAGCTGTCTACACACAATACTCAAGATCCACTGGTCAGAGACAATCAACTAACTGCCATCTGAGGAGATTGGGAAAAGACGCTAGAGGTGAATGGACACACTTTCGAACAAATAGTTTGACAAGCTGAGCGCCGAGTATATAAAGGACATTAAATGTCCTGAAACAGTTTCAACGATTGAAACGTGAGTAATTTCAAAATTTTACCCAGAAAACTGATTACAGCCTCTTTAGGGTTATAATTAATCACTGAAATGATTTTAAATAATTTTTCACGTTTAGAAATAAAATTTGTTTGCTTACTTGGACCCATAGAAGTTGTGGGCTACAATCACTACCATTTACAAGAACACATTCATCAAATGTTTGGTTGCGAGTCACAATATCAAACATACGTTTACGTATCAGATATGGCCTATAATCATCACCATATCGTAGAAAGTAATAATAAGACACTAATCTGTCTAGTGGATTTCTTATCATATTAATATATATTGGGTTAAACAATGATCCATATTTGATAAAATTTATATAAGCGAAATGCCCATGTATAATCAGTGGATGCATACTGGTCCAATGTGTCAAATTATCTATAAGATATAATTCATTTACACGATTTAAATAATGTTTATTTGAAGAAATGTTCAAGTGTATCACATGTGTATGACTGTAATTCTCTTCAATTAATTGATAGACTAAGTTTATTAAAGATGTGCTACCTGTTTTAGGGATTCTGTTGTAGACAACAACAGGATATGGCTTGATATTACTGTCCGTACCATGAGCATTGTTGTTATTGATGAATGAATAATTATCTGTTTTCGAGAACTGTTTTGCCGACATAAAACAATTTGTATAATGATAATTTAGAAACCATTTATTAGCACAAAAGATAAAAATCAGAAGTGATAAACTACTGAATAATGAAAATAACACAAACAATCGACGATTTAGCAGAATCCTGATAAAAAAAAATATGATCAGAAGAGGTGTATGAGTTAGAAATGCATGTGTGTAAATGTGCCGTATATAATACTCATAAATGCAAATGATAAATTATTAATAAATATCTAAAGCTAAGTATATTTTCAATGAATTATTCAGATACTCTAGAAACAACCACGGGAAACCAGGAAGCACTGGACAGTTGCTTTTTATTAGCGTGGGGACTTGACACTGTGCACTTAGAAGCCTCAGGTATTGAAACGAACGTCTAAGTTTTAGATCACTGAGCCGAAATCCAATAGCCAGTATGACTAACTTCGATCGATTGGCGATATTGTGTAGTCATGATCCAATAACATTTGCTGGTAAATGTCTCATAACAGATTTTGACAAGGGCTCCCAATAGGTCAAACAAAAATTTTGAAAGGTGTAAAATATGCTAAAAGTATGACTAAATATATATTTCCATAATTGAATAATAAATTATTATCATTCTCTACGATCAGACTATCATCCAAATGACACTCAATCAATTCATAAAGCACAACTAAATTGATTATAATACGTAGCCCTTTGTCGGTTGTCATTAATTTACCTCAGTCTAATTTACCTTATTCTACACATAATCAACTAATCGGTAGATTTTCTTAGAACTCCAAATAAGCATTACGGGTTTATTTTGAAGAATTGTATTCTGTGTTCCCGTATGGACTGTACTCTTCGTAATTTTTATTATAACTTTGTTATTTTATAATCTTGATTTCTATCAGGCCTAACCAAAGGGTTCATCGAATTTTTCATGTGGTTGACTCTCTTTTATCGATGAACGCTAGTTGACAAACAAATTGAATAAGCAGTAATTTCCGAATTCCCCCAAAAATGATTTGGGTAGTGATGATACGTACGATGTAGGAATCGTCAGAGATTTATGCACACACTATAAACTCACTGGATTGCCTTAGCTATTATTAATTATATTCTGAAAATAGGTATCAAGTAAAAGTAATCAACTGTTTAGAAAAAAAGGTGAATAATGAGGTAAATGAACGCAAAGTAAAACTGAACTGATAACAGGCATAACAAGATTAGTATGTACTACTGCATATAGTAGTCACAAATAGCAAACAAACAAGTAGCAAGAACATTCATCTATACAACTTTTGTAAGAACAACTTGAGACGTATTTGTATAACTTTTGCCCCCAAATGCCGTGGTACGGCTGAGAGTGATGAGAGTCAGCTCTCCCTCTCGAAATGCTCTCACATGGTCACGCGTATATAGCCTCTGCCAGGGAAGTCCTACTCACTGCCTTCTCGTGACATCAATGTTGTTTACGAAATCGAGAGGACGAAAAGCGAATGTCCGGGGCATTAACCGGGTTGGCGGACATGGAGAGTCCATCTAGGGGAGTTGGAAAACCCTGATTCCAAACCAACGGTGCACATAGGCTCCAGGTTCCTGCCCCAAGGTCCTGAGGGAACAAATGGTGTATGAAACAACTGTTGGTCACCCGAGCAGTACCACAGCCCTCACACAAATCAAATGAGATTTGTGTGGCGCATAAGTATTTGGTGCCTCCTTGTACCAATATATATGTGTTCAAATAAAAAATAATAAATATAATAATAATAACTTTCTAAAAACAGTGACATTAAATAACAGCACTGCTGTGATCCAAGTATACTAAGTATTGCTTAAGTGTACACAAATTTTCGCTTTGGTTAAGAATAGTAGACGTTGATCAAATACGTGCTTCATATACATAAGTGAGATTGAGCACTAGTTCTCAATGGCCGCTACAAATTTACATGTAATAAAATATCGGACAACTTCACCTATTTTAACGTATGTTGCCATATCATGAAACTGATGAAGACCTATCGTGAACAAACATCTTAAGTGATAGGTAAAAAAAGAATTTAAAGGTTTCATTTTATGGCTAGAAAAGTTCAAAAAACACCAATGTTTGTTAAGGTCTCCAACTTAAAGAACAACGTTGTTTAGATTCCTTTCAAGCCCCTAAATGCCCTGGTACGGCCGAGAGTGGGCTCTCCCTCTTGAAATACTCTCACATGCCTACATGAATACAACCACTGCTAGGGAAGCTCTACTCACTACCTTTTCTCGGCATTACTGTTGTCTAAAAAATTGAGAGGATGAAAAGCGAATGTCCGGCACTTTAACCAGGTTGGTGAGTACGGAAAGTCCACCTACGGGAATTGGAAAACCCTGACTCGAAACCAATGATGTACATGGGCTCCAGTATCCTGAGAAAACAAATGACGTATGAACCGATTATTGGTCACCGGCTACCATGGGACTGCATCTCCTTACGTTGCCCCAATGTCCTATGGATTAGACCTTCAGGTCAAAGGTTCTGAGTGTGGATCCCTAAGAAAACCACCTGCTTCGCCCTGGGCGCCCGAACAGTATCAAAGCACACACATATAAAATGAAATGACGATGATTACTGAAAATACTATTCTCGCCTCGATTAAAAGTCAGACAATTCACATTCACTTTTTATTTTTAACTTTTTAATATACTACGACACTTATCCACTCTCTTTCATTCCCACTTTGTGCATCCTTAGTTTTCAAATTATACAGCAACTCGCCTATGGTGAAAACTTTGTTATATCTAAACGATCTCGAGTTACTGACTGGTCGAAAATTGAATGCTACCAACGAATACGAATGCTGAAACTCTTTCTGAAGCCACGTATACCATTCAAACTGACTTCCTTCAACGTTCACACACTAACGCAGATCGGACAACAGGTAGTGTTGGATGTGTCTTTGGAAAGTTTTAATATCGCTGTCTGTTGTCTATCCGAGACCCGTATTCAAGACTTGAGTCTTGGATACGGGTCTGCAAATTTGTTCTCTATCTGTCACTTCGAAAAGCTTGTTTTATGTGTTTATCCGGAGACCCTGTAACATCTTCGTCTGGTTTTGCTGCTGCTGGTGTCTCACTAAGCGGTAGAGCTGAGGCAGCACAAGTTGATTGTATACACATTAACAGTCGGTTATGTGTTGCTAGATTATAACGTTCCATAAAAAAATCGTTGTGGGAACCAATGTCTTTTCGTCATCTCCGCCAATGCTCCAACAGATTGCAATCTGGATGCGATCAAGGATGAGTTTTACCACCCACTAGCAGTTCTTCTACAGATCAGAACTATTATTCCGCCGTTATCAGTACGATATACTGTGCTGAAGTTATACTATGACTGAAACTAACGGTATGTTTGGTGAGATGTTTTGCTGAAAAAGAAGCCACATCGTAACCTCACCTTTCAATAACTACCAAGGCATGAACTTGAAACAGCCTTGATACACCGCGCAAATTCATTTGGCCGCTTTATACTTATTCAATATTGTACCCGCGTCAGACAGTTTTTTATTCACTAGTTAAACAGTAACGTCATTCAGATCATGTAAGGTGAAAGAAGTCTTGAGCTACACGAAATTCCCAAACGCTTGCTTCTAAATGTGGATTAGCTGAACTGCTACCGCGCTCGTTTCAAAAAGAGCAATGATTTTTGTACTTCAGTCTTCGGTCTTCGGTAATAAGGATAGGAGGTCTGTCGACCTATATTAATCCTTACAGTTTGTAATACTGTGGAAGTCCAATCTCGTTTTGAATATATTGACAGACGGTGCTGATATCACGTGTTCCGGCAGAGAATTCCAGTAATTCACTACTCGGTGCGAGAAACGGAACTCCAGACGTAAACAATATGATCTCGGTTTTTGAACTTTCTTCGAATGTCCTCTCAAATGATCGGTTCTAGACGGAAGCAAAAGATAAAACATGTTAATACCAAGGTCATCGTTCAGTATACGATAAGCCAATATTAGATCACCCCGTATTCTACGGTAAGATAACGGAAATAAGTTAAGGTGTCTCAGTCTGTCTTCATAAGATAGGCCAGCTAGACCTTGTACCATCTTAGTAGCTCGTCGTTGGACTCTTTCTAGCATATCTGCTTCATATTTGAAACAAGGACTCGCTGCTTGAATCCCGTATTCTAAATGTGGTCGCACATAAATCGGGTATAGTAATCCGAACATTTCATTATCTAAATACTGAAAAGACCCACGAATTGACCATAATACCCTATAGCTTTTTGCAGAAGCAGCCTTACAGCGACTAGCCGTTTTGAGATCATCACTTAATATAACTCCTAAGTCTTTATAGTTTCTTGTTTTGAGTAGCACGAATCCACGTAGTGTATAGTCATACGATTCATCAGAGTTATTTAACTGCATCACTACACTCTTATTAGGATTTACTTCTAGTGACCACCTGTCTAACCATGCCACCAATGAGCTAAGATCGTCCTGTAATACTATTCTATCCGACATACTATGTATGGGTCTCCAAATCTTTATGTCATCAGCGAAGAGTAGAACGGATGATTTTGCTACAGTTAGCAATTCATTTACATAAAGTAAAAAGAGAAGAGAACCTAGGATTGTACCTTGGGGAACCCCACTTTTTACAGGTACCCACGAGGACAGAGCCCCATTAACCCTTACCCTTTGTCTCCTGTCATGGAGAAAGTTACTTATCCAATCTACGACTGTATAATGGATTCCAAAACGTTTCAGTTTGGATTTAAGACCAGAGTGGGAAACCTTATCAAAGGCTTTACTTAGATCTATGAAAATTACATCCACAGGAGCATTCCGATCCTTTGCCGCAGCCCACTCTTCTCGCGCAATGAGAAGATTTGTCAAGCAAGATAGGCCTTTCCGAAAACCATGTTGTGCCCTGGAGAAAAGATTTCGCCCTTCAACATAGTTTATAACAGCTATCCGAATGATTTTCTCCATCAGTTTCACAACTGCACTAGTTAAGCTAACGGGTCTATAGTTACTAACTAAATCCCTACTCCCAGCCTTATACACCGGACTTATTATGGAGTCTTTCCAGTCTCTAGGAAGTCTGGACTGTCTCAGAGACATGTCGAATAGTATCGCTAATGGTTCAGCAATTTCATCTGATATGGCTTTCATAATCCTAGGATGAATATCATCAGGACCACTGGACTTATCAGGTTTGAGATGCTGAAGTAGCCTTAAAACAGTATCTTTCTCAATGACTACAGGATCCATCAGCGAGCCGTCACGGTCACGATGAATCATTGGTCGTTCCTCATTACCGATAGAAAACACTTTACTAAAATATTCCGATAAAGCTTCAGCTTTTTCGGCATCATTCTCTGCTAAGATTAACGGATTGTCTCGTATCAAAAGTGATGGAATTCCATCGCTTCTCTTAGTTCGCCATTTTATATACGAGAATAACTGTTTCGGACTATATCTAGAATCCCTAACCAATTTTTTTTCGTATGATAGTCTAGTCTTGCTTATTAACGCTTTACAGGCATTCCTAATCTTACAATAACTGGATCTGTATTGTTCTAAGCCAGTAGAGATGAACATATTCCAGTGATTCTTCCTTTTTCTAAAGAGTTTCCTGACCGTTTTAGTTATCCATGGTGGACTATTATTCGGTCTTCGCGGTACCAGGTATGGTATGATCGGGGACGTAACTAGTCTAAATTTACCTTTAAATGCAGACCATGCTTCTTAAACTGATATGCTAGTATCTACAAACCAATCTGTCTTAGCAGCGCATTCCTGAATGGCTGATATGTTAGCTTTCCATACATTTGGGCGCGGTGTAACCTGATCGTATAACATGTCCCTAGTTCTAAACGCGAATGACAAAACAGCATGATCGCTGTTTACTAACGGTGGAAGAATATTTAAGTCGACAATATCCTCAGTCTCATGAGTGATTACCAAATCCAGCAGAGAAGAACCCTGGTTAACACCAAAACGTGTGGGTTGGGATACATGCTGTACTAGTGCATGCTCCATTATTGTTATCAGGAACCTACTATCAAAGGAGTTTATAGATCCTTCCGTGGTCATCTCAGTCCAACTAATATCAGGTGCATTAAAGTCTCCTATTATCAAGCATCTGGTATTTGCATTCCAAAGATGAGTGTGCTCTAAAATAGTCATCAGCTAAGCAGATTGGGCTCCGATAGATGACACCTAGCATAAATGTACTACATTCTATAGCCAACTTACAGCTAATGACTTCACAAGTGCCGCTATCATGGGATTCGCTAGTAGAGGAGCGGATATTTATGCCATTGGCTATATATAACAGGATTCCACCTCCTTTTCTACATCTATGTCTATCACCCCTGAGGTAATGGTATCCTGATAATTCTGGAGTAATGTCTAAGTCATGGACTAACCAAGTTTCTGTCACTGCTACTATGAGTGGCTTTAACCTGTCTACTAGTGCTTCTAGTCCATAGAACTTATTTCGTAAACTACAAGCGTTGGCATATAAAACTCCTAAGTAGAGCGGCCTATCCACACAGGCATTGGTAGCATTCGCTTCCAAGACCTGACTATCCGAAAACCCACTAACCGGAGATTTTCCTCGCCGCTTTGTCGACGGGTTTCAAGTTCAGCTAGTGCTTTCTTCCTTTTTATTCTATCTTCGAGAGGCATGTCAGGTCTAACTCGGATGTCAGAATTGTCGTGACAACGAGCGCTACTTAACAAGAGATCCCGTTGCTTCTCCGATCCTAGGATTACCTTAAGGAGTCTGCATGGACGGGGTTCAACATTGTCCTCGGTTCTCTTGCCTATTCTTACCAATTTTTTGACCTGAACTCCTTTGGAGTTATCTGGTAAAATACTACGAATGTATTCTCCTAGCTTTTCTAAGTCATGCGCGTGTTTAATTTTTGGATCAGGCTCGTTTGACTCCCGCAATTTGCTCACAATAATATTCGATGTTATTAGATTTTTCTTCTCAGTCACGCCAAGATGGGTTTCACTCTTACCATCAGATCTTGGTAGTGCAATTTGTGGCTCACAGTTTGAGTCCACCAGTGAATTACTAACTACCTGTGTACTGCTTACAGCTTTTTTCTTTTCGTTTCGTTTCCTACGTACCGTTGTCCATTTTTCATCCCTCATAACACTGGGACTATTTGTAACGGTGACTGTTTTATCCAGATCTTCGGTTCCCAATAAAGGTGCATTATTAAAAATGTCAGTACCAGGTGGTACTACTCCCCCTGTTAATGTCAACGAAGATTTCACTTTTACGTCGGTCAAAGTCGGTTGTTTTAGGCATCGCGTAACAGCAGGTACTACACTGACACATTAGTCACTGTCAGTGCCCGTGTTGTCAGCGCATATGCCATCCTTCTTCTTACAGGCCAAAGCCAATAGGCTCGTAGCCTCCTGTATTAGTAATGCCTTGTAAGCACAGCAAAACATGCAAAGCCAATGTGAATTAGGCTTCGAACATCTTCTGTATGCGGTGGGACTTAAGCGGGTGCACATTTTGTGGACTCACTTATTGCATTCATTACACTGCATTCCCTCATCCACAGGGAACAAACAGTTTGGTTGTCCACATTTGTGAGTACTATCAACCATTTTAGTCTGATCAAGGTGTAACACACAATATGATCACAGTATGAACACAAATGTCAGTCAACGAATAAAAGGTTACCACAAGATAAACTTTTGCAAGATTTCAAACCTTAACTAAAGTACTTTGATACAGACCAAGAATGCTTCGAATGTAATAAATACACAAAAGCCAAAAAAACTCAACGGAATATCACTTTAACTGTATTAGATTCAATTAAAGTGCAAATCGTAGTTTTGATGGGTAATTTACGATCAAAACAGTTTGCTAATTCAACGAGAAACAATACCACTGTCCTTTTTAGATGGCGCGCGTAGTTGTGATTATACTTGCTTTGGGTACTTATTTCACCAAAAGGCATTCTTGGTCTACTTGAACTAAAAGTACTTTGGTTAAAGTTTGAAATTTTCAGCTAAATTTTGTCCTAGGTACCTTTTTTATTCCTTGATTAACACTTGTGTTCACATTGTCATCATTTTGTGTTTTTAAACATTTCAAATCAAATGACAATGGTTGGCAAGACTCACAAATGTGGGCAACCAAGTTGTTCTTTCCCTGTTGAAAAGGGAATTCACCGTGACGATTTTAAAAAGTGGTACCACAAAATGTGTAGACGCCTAAGTCCGACGGCTTACAAAAGATGCTCGAAGCTTAACTCGCATCGGCTTTGTATGTTCTGCTGTACGGATAAAAAGATACTAATACAAAAGGCTTTGAGCCTATTGGCTCTGGCCTGCAAGAAAAACGCTGGCGGAAGCACTGGTATTAAGAGCACTGACGGTGAAGAATGTGTCAGTGTAGTAACTTCAGCTACTGGACCCATTAAACACCTGACTGTGGTTGGTGGAAACGTGGAATCTCCGTTGACATTAACGAGGAATGAAGTGCCGCTTGATATTGACATCGGCAGTCATACACCTCTAATGGAA